TATTTAGGTGGGTCCAATCCACGTGGAATTTTTCCAATTTAATTTTCTTGTTTTCATACGCTAGCTTTGGTGCGTTTGAATTAGTTTAGTTTTAAGCATTGACAGACTTGTCTAGGCTGGTATGAACAATCCATGTGAGTTTTCACATTAATGGAATTCTGATATTTGTGGTTCAAATTTGATTCTTTTTAGTTTTTCCCACTTTAAGGCAATTTCTCATGTTATAGTAATTTTGTTTATTAGGCTTTTTTTTTGTTGTTGTTGTTGTTGTTTAAAGAAACCACATGGCCAATCACAATTCACAAGTAAGAACCCAATCATTCTAGTCCATGTTCAATGGAACGGCGTTACTCTCAAGTCTCAATCCATAAAATAATACTTTTGATATTCGTGCTTAGCTTAATATTAATGTTTGTCTAAATATATTTGATGTTCATATATTAGCATGAATCTGCTGGATAAAAACAAATAAAATACGATCTCTAACTTACAAATAATTACGTAATGTTTCATTTAGTTATGTAATAATTAATATACAAAGGTCTTGTGCATGGACTTTAATCATAAAAGATATACTCTCCCATTAGAAGTATGGGTGAATTATAAAATTTATACGACGTACAATTTGGAAAAATAAAATAAAATGAAATAATATTTTTATTAATATAAGTACAATATGTAAGATACTCCTTTTAACATTTATATGAATTAAAGAAAAAAAAGCCACAGCTAGCCAAAAGAAACTTTTTCTATTTTGTTTATATATTTTTTGGTTTAAAGATAGACCATTGCTACATTTAAAAAAATAATAACTTAATGCACTAAGCTTCCGTAATAATGAAAATGAAAAATTGCTATGTACTATTCAATAATTCAGAACTAATAACAACTCGAAAAGAGATAAAATATAAGGAAGCACATTTAAACATGAATGAATATTTGCATGTGACATGACTATATATTGTGGCATGCTAATTAATTAGTATTTCCTTCTTCTTCTTTTTCTTTTTCCTTTCCCACCAACTTAATGAAAAATAAGGAAATAAAAAGAAGTTAAATTAATAGAGAGAGTGTGACATGACTATAGTGCCACCACCTACGTATAATTGGGGGTTATATGATAAATTTTAACCAAAACAAGTGAAAAACTAGTAAATTATTTAATTACATACAATAACATTTGGCTAAAAACTTATCCGAATGCTTACGCGGAACAAATAAATACTAGACATGTATCTTTCATATATCGTATACGCATTGACCACTTAATTCATAGTAATTAAGTTGTATGTATATATTCTCACCCTAATTTTCAAATACCAAGGTTACCATTTGAAAGACCTTACTGATGCAATTAGACAAATTAAATTTGAGGTGATCGACACTTTTTTTTATGCAACACGAATCTGAATTAGTTTCAACTTGATTTTCGAATATCAAATGTTTTATTTTTCTTAAAATGTCTACCAACCGTATTTTGTAACGAATTCTTTAAAACAATCGAGGCCTCCACTTTGCCTAACAATAAGCTTGCCCTTACAAACATGTCAACATGTAATTGACGATAGAAAAAAGGCTTCTTTCTATGGTGTCCACAGCAACAAATCAGGAGGCCTATCTATAAAACCTTCATTTTGTCCTTTTTTCAAAAATCAGCCTCAAAAATAAAGTTTACAAGCCATACAGCTTTGATTCCTCAATATTAATATTACTCTCTCAGTTCAATTTCCCTTCCATCTCGCTCGCTCACCTCTAACAAATATGGGAGCCTGTGCGAGCAGACCTAAGGATTTGGACAGGGACTTGGCCCCTGCCCCTGTTCCCGCTGAGGAATCTGTCACCCCCAAGGCTGACGCTGTTCCTCAGGTATGCTTTTCATATTACTCTCATTATAATTAATTCTCTTGCATATTACTATAGTTTGTATCGACAAATGCATCGAGTATATATGGATTCAGAATTTAAATATAATGAGTTAGGAAAGTGTGCAATCTAATACTCTCTCTGTTTTAATTTTTTTGTCTTACTTTTCTTTTAATAGTTCTGTTTTTTTTGTTAAATGCTTCTTTTCTGTTAGAGAAGTCTTTTATTTCAACATTCCGCGTAACATGCTTAAAATCACAAGATTAAAAGATATTTTAGTACATTCTCCATGTCTTTAGTTTAAGATCATGAGATTCAAAATCAGACAAACAAATTGAAATGAAGGGAGTAAATAAATATACACGTTCTTTTTCCTTCTTTTTTGAAATATAGTAAGAATTATTATCCTGAGATCAGGATGTTAGGGGTTCAAGTCATGAAAATAGCACTCTACAGAAATACAATGTATACGACTACATACAATAGACCCAATGTGGTTAATCCATATCAGGAGCTAAGTGCACTGAGTTACCCTTATATACATGTTTGAGGCAAAAGGGTTGATTTCTGGTCTAACTAGGTGTTTGACAATTTTTTGGCATGTACAGTATGATTAAATCCTTCACATGTTCCAAAATCACATATATTAAGCTATTCTTGAAACATCAATATATTGAAATATATTTTTATGAAATTAGGAGAAAAAGGATGGAGAGGAAACAAAGAAGGAAGAGCCTTTGATTGATGTGTCAACAGAGGTTACCAAAACAAAGGAAGTAACCACAGAAACAAAGGCTGTTGTTGAAGCAGAAAAGGAAACAGCCAAACCAGCAGAGGAAGTCAAAGTTGAGGCTGTGAAAGAAGAGCCCAAAGAGCAGCAGCCAGCTGAGGAAAACAAAGAGGCTGGAACTGTTGCCCAGTAAATAATAATACTCTACTTATCAAGTAAATAATGTATAAATAAATAATGGGCTTGAGATTTATTTTCAATCATATCTTTAGGCTTAATTAGTTGATTGATTTGTTGAGGCTCCTCTACTTTCATCAAACAACAATAGTAACAACAAAATTTCTTGTATTTCTAATTCGTCTTTTCAAATATTCAAAGGATTCTACGTTCTATTGTCAGAAATACTTCTATTTGCATAACTCGTGAACAAGGGTAATATCTAGGTAGCCTTTTTTCTTATGGTCATACCTTTATATACACAAAACGAAATTGATTCACTTCCAAGATTCTATATGTTGACTCTTTTATTCTCTTCTTAATATTTGTTTCAATGGAAGATGCATCCTTAAAGTTACCAAAGAAAGGGATTGCTTCTTATTTAGGCTATCCAAGATCCAAGAAATGCTTAACCCAAATGTGACATTTTGCGGCTACTGAATTTTGCAAATTAAAGCAACTTCACACATTGGATTTTGTATCCAATATGTTCAAATTCCTTTTTTTATTAAATAGTTCGACATACAAATATGTTACGATGAGTCATTTTTTCCTATATTGGACCCTCTGCCTGCCCCTATTCTATTTCCTACAAGGACAGGACATAGCCAAATACTAAGAAAAAGGCGATAATAATATGCTTATGAACATAATTTCCAGTAAAAAGATTTCAATTTCATTGCTTTTGTGTGCGTTCTTTTCTTACTCTTTTGCTTACAATTTCATTATTAGTAATAACTGCCCTTTTACAATATGGCCTGGTACACTGGCTGGTGCGGGAACTCCTCCACTTCCCGCGACTGGTTTTCGATTAGATGCAGGGCAAAGCATCACAATTCCAAGTGTAGCTGGATGGTCAGGGAGAATTTGGGCTAGAACTGGCTGCACTTTTGATGCATCAGGTATTGGCTCGTGTCAAACAGGCGATTGTGGTGGGAAGCTTGAATGTAGTGGGCTTGGTGCCACGCCACCTGCCTCCCTCTTCGAGATAACTCTTGGTGTGGGAGACAACAAAGATTTCTATGATGTTAGTATTGTTGATGGCTATAATTTACCAATGGTTGCTGTCCCTCAAGGCGTCAACGGAGGATGCAATGCCACTGGCTGCCTCTCCAATCTTAACATGGGTATTTTCTCACAATTGTTGCTCTGAATTAGTAATTAAAAAAAGCTATGTTATATCAGCTCTAAATCGCAAAATTGAGGGGTATATCAAACCCTTTTCCTACAATAAGTAGACTGAACATGATATTCGTGTAGCCAAGACTAAAATATTAGTACTACAAGATTGAGTTACTTTTTTGGAAGAACAATTTCATTTTTTTTAACAAAATGGAACAGGTTGTCCAAAAGAACTTCAAGTGATGGGTGGATATGGAGGAGAAGGGAATGTGGTGGCTTGTAAGAGTGCATGTGAGGCTTTTGGTTTAGACCAATATTGCTGTGCAGGACAGTATGCAAATCCAACAACTTGTCAACCATCTTTTTACTCTACTATCTTTAAGAATGCTTGTCCAAGGGCTTATAGCTATGCATTTGATGATGGCACTAGCACTTTTACCTGCAAAGCTAATGACTATGCAATCATCTTTTGTCCCATGAATGGGTACTCTCTCAAAACTTTCATCATCTTAAATATTCCGTCCGTCCCAATTTATGTGAAACTCTTTTCTTTTAGTCAGTCCCCAAAAAAATGACGTAGCCTATCTTTCATTTTAAACTTCATGTTTAGTCAAACACCATCACATAAATTGGATTTTGAAACAGGGTTAAGTGGCCTAATGAAGAAGCATCAACAACTCGGCCTATTGAAGAGAGTAAAACTGGAAAGTTTGCAGGATCTATGGCGTCATCTTCAAACATTATACTCCTTCCTTTTCCAATGCTGCTAATTTTCAGCTTATATCTGTAAGCATCTATCATATTAATAGCGCGCGGCCGCTTGAATGGTTCAGCAGAACAACCAGAGGACACCTTCATAATTCAATTGGATGCAGTGTAAGAAGAGCAGAGAGGAATATTTGGTACCTCAAGAAAAGGTTGTGTATCCCTTGAAAAATTTAGAGCCAAACAATACCAGGCCACCTTTGCTTTTAAAAAAAATATAAGTAGTTCTTGCTTCTAGACACAATGCATCTTGTTTATTTTGAACTGTCGGTTTAATCACCGGTTCTTATTTTCAAGTGTCGGTTTAAGATAACGAAGACATTTCAGTCCCGAGTCTTTTACATGCAACATCATTAATGGCCAGCTGCAAGGAAAGTGTAGAGCTAAAACAATCAATATCAAGACCTAAAACAACTAACATGTGGTTATAATCATAATTATACTCCTTTTGAGTTTCATATAATGATGAAGTGAAAGTGCAAAAGGCTAACCCTATTATTTTTTTATCATAAAATTCTATTAAAAAACTTACCACTATTTTGTCATTCAAAGTGTCCCTTTCCTCAAAGCTTTTATCAAGTGAGATCTTGCCAAGCTCACTACGCATAGTTGTATGTGCTAGTTGAATTACCGCATACAATGGATTCTCAACTCCATATGACGTCAATTTTGGATCCACAGTCTACAATTTACGCAAAACAATCTCTACATTTTTAAAATTCAAGAAAATTCACGCAAAAGTTTAAAAGTACTAATAGAGATTAAACCTTAATACAGAGAACACCATCAATCGAAATGCTAACATTGTCTCTAGTAATGGCAGCCTGGTTAGGTTTTGGAAGAGTCTCTTCCAGCGAATGGGCATACGCATTTCGATCAACAAAAGGGATCAAAAAGTGAATTCCCGGAGTCAATGTTTTCACATATTTTTCAAAACGTTCAACTACATACGCTTTTTTTCCAGGCACTATACGAATTCCCAAATTCATCGGCACCCGGACGTGATACCTTCATCACAACACAAAAATATTCCATAAGCTACGGCCTATGTAGTGATTCCCTAGAAATTTTAGGAAATTTTTATTTTATGTAGTACATATTTTATAAACATAATTTGTATTTAAATTGTAATATTTCAAACTTTAAAAATATTTTGAGTTTAGATTCTTATTATTTTTAATACTTTATTTTATTTTTATTTTTTGATTAATTTTTAGTTGGTCCACGAGCCAATCCTATTCATATTTCTCAAGCCCCACAAATCAGCAAGCTTATTCAGGCCGGGCTAAAAATCCCTTTTCTTAAATGAGCTTCAAAAATCACAGTCCAGCCCTATCAAATTACAAGTTAGGCCAGGCCGGTCCATTGGGTCTAGCCCATATTGACATCTCGAGCTAATAATAATGTGTGCGACATTGGACACGTAAATAGTGTGAAAATGGAGCCCATGCTCTCACCGCAATTTCCACGACTATTATACTATTCATATTCAAGAATTATTTTTTAAAATTATATTTAATTTTTAAGAAACATCTAATAAATAAAATTAATTTAATAAATTATATTTTGAATTTATTGTTTTTCTTCATAAACGTAAAATAAATTAAAATGACATGTTTGGTTGATAGCTTTAGGAGTAAAGGTTCAATTTCTCATGATACTTTGTGCTGAAATAAGAACAATGTTATAGATGGGGAAGATGAAATTGGCAGGATTTTTAAACTAAGGGCCCGTTTGGCCATGCGATATGATATCATGATATGAAATCATGATATGGTATCATGATATGGAATCATGAGATGAAATTGAAGGTTTGTTTGGACATGCGATATGGAATTTTTGTGTTGTATATTTTCTCATAAACATAAAAATTCCATAAGTTGTAAAACTATTAAAATAACCCCAATTGTTTATTCAATCTTATCAAATAAACAAAAATTATGAAATCGCATAATAAATGATTACAAAGTTATTTGTTTTTCAGTTAAATAATTGTTTCATCTAACTTTAATTTAATTTAAAAAAATTGAACATAAATTGTACTTGATATGTTCATATCTCTCAACTACTCTTACAAATAACCTATAAAGTAGAAAAAAAACATACATTAGTGAGTAAATATTAACTTAGAAGTTAAATGCACTAAGATAAAAATTAACAAACATCACTAACTTCTAACTATTTACAAGAAAAATCAATAGTTAAATATTATTGAATAACGAAATTTTAAAAAGTTACCACAAGTTTGAGTCAAAAACACTTCTAATAAAATTTAATCAAAAAAATTATAACTAGTCCACTTGACTAAATATTAATAACTAATTGATCAAATTTTCCTAAGTCCTCAATCAATTGGACTTGATATCCTTCAATCATGTGAATGAACATTTTGCAAATACTAAGATTAAGAAAGTGCGGCACAGCCAATGAAAATTGTCTTTTATCAATATTATGCTTAGTCATAAGATTAAGACGTTTTTTTTTATTATGAAAAATAAAAAAAGTATTACTCCCTTTGTTCTCATTTATATTCACCAAATGAATTTCTACTTTATCATTTATATTCACCAAATTTAAAGTGATAATAAATTTTATATTGGTGAGAATAATAAATTTTAAAAAGTAATGATGTCATTATAAATTTTATTTACATATGAAACAAATGGTTAGTAGATATAAATGTGGGGTTGTTTTAACAAAATATAAACTCATGGATCAATTATTGTATTAAAATATCTCAAATCATGATATGAAATCACATGGTGATTCCATATCATGGTTTTTGGAGAATATGATATCACCTCTCATGATATGAAATCGTGAGATGAAATCAGCGTAAAATCGCATGTCCAAACGCTGATTTTATCTCACGACATCATATCGTGATATGATATCGCATGGCCAAACGCCTACTAAGAAGAAAAGCAGGGGCGGCTCAATGTTTAAAAATGAGGCATCCGTCTTAGGCCCCAAATTTGAGAGCCCCATTTTTTAGTAATAATAGAAGTGCTATAAGTATTTTTTAACAAAAAATAAATTATATTTTATATTTCTTTTAGTTTGTTTCGAAACATTAAAAAATGTTTCTTTCTTATTTTGTCTATTTTTAAATTTAACTTCCACATGGTTTAAGACCACAAGATTAAAAAATATTTTGATATATTATATAAATATCTTTAGTTTAAGACCATAGAAACAAATAAAACTTTTTCATTAAAAAGAAAGAAATAACTTGAGGACATTGTATAATATGTAGTAGCTTTTTTAATATGATAAACTTTGTTAGAAACCTATCGAGTTTTTGTATTAAAGACTACATCTTGAAGAACAAGACACAATATAGTATATAACTTGAGCAAAGGGCTTCGTTTTCTTGCTATTTACTCTACTTCATTCATCCCAAATTCACGATTATCAATTGGAAGATCAAGCTCTATGATGCTAAATCACCATCTTCATTCACTCCATATCAGAACAACCTCCACAACTACTTCTTCTCTTATTACGAAGCAAACCTCCAATCAGCTCTTGCCATGTTACCTATCTCCTTCCTTCACTTCCACTACCGTCCACCTTTTTTCGGTATCCATATGAGTGCGTGTTTTTTTTAATCTCTGTATTTTTAAAAATTCAAGAAAATTTGCGCAAAAGTATAAGAAGTACTAATAGAGATTAAACCTTGATATAGAGAACACCATCAATCGAAATGCTAACATTGTCTCTAGTAATGGCAGCCTGGTTAGGTATTGGAAGAGTCTCTTCCTTGAGCGAATGGGCATACGCAATTCGATCAAAAAGTGAATTCACGGTATCAATGTTTTCACATATTTTCTAAAACGTTCAACTGCATATGCTTTTTTCTCAGGCTACGAATTCCCAAATTCATCGGCACCCGAACGTGATACCTTCATCACAAAAAAAAATATCTTTTAAGACCATAGGCTAATTCTGATAAGTAAGTTATAAATAAAGTTGAAAGTTGAGGACACATCGATATGATTGTAGATTAAATATAATTTGTCTTGATTATTAGAATGATATAATTTCAACTTCTTGTACTAGTACAATATAAATATATTGAACATGATTAAATAAAAATAATTGTCGTCGTTATACTAATTATATAAAACAATTTTCCAAATTGGTTCTCATGATATAAGTTTCACAAATAATATTTTATATTGATTGCATCCTCTCAATTCTCTAACACACCTCATGCATCTTCACCCTCCACCCCATCCTCATCGCCCTTACTCTCCACTCTTGTCTTATTTGTTTTGATTATATATAAATATTTTAAGATAATATTATTATATTTTGTTTACAAATCAAATACAAGAAAATAAATATATTATCCACTTATTTTTTTGAAAAATTATTTTCCTGAAAAACATTTCTCCCAACGAATACACCACAACAGATTAATCTCAAATTGCATGAATCTAAACCTTTATTGGACCATAAATAAGTATGATTCGGTATAAAGACAACTCTTTTTTTAAGAAAAAAGAGAAAAGTATTGAAAACATGACTCCCGAACTTGGCACAAATTATTCATTTCGTTTCCGAATTATTGACAGCCTTAAAAACACTTTCTACTCGACAAACTAAACTTAGATACATCCACGGTCTGCCACATAACATAACAAGTGGTGTCAAACTCTAAACTCTTGTAGCATAGAGCTTTTGATAAAAAGTCGAGAGAAGTGTTGAGAACACCACCAAACTTGACGAAAATTTAGGGGTGTATTTCACTCATGTTGCAAGATCGAGGGTGTATATTTAAGTTTAGTTAGTCAAGTAAAGGGGTGTTTTTAAGACTGACAATATTTAGAAAATAAAACTGATAATTCGCATCAAATTTAGAAATGTTTCCAATACTTCTTTAAAAAAAATGTGGGAGATTATTTCAATTGATTGTGCTAAATTTCGTTGTAACATTTTCTAAAAGTCTTAGTCTTCTTTTTTTTTTTTTTGAGAAAGTTTAGTTTGTTCGAGACGTGATACATGTAGCATGCATGTTGATTTATCAAAAGGAGAAGATTAAATTATTGAAAATTTGGAATCAGTTGATAAGCGCCAAAATTAAATAAAAAAGAAGGAACGGATGTGTCCGACTCCTAATTCGAGATGGAGTAACAAGCGTACCAATCTGTTTTTCAGTTAAAGCGTATTTATAAACCCTTATTGGATGGTTGTTATGTATCATTTAATAATGTTTGATGCTTTATTATATATATTATATATATCGTACTGTTTAAAGATATAATGTTTGAATCCCTAAATTATATTGTTTTTCGTCATATATATAATGTCATATACCAACAATTTGAAACATGAAGTAGAACTATATGTATTAGAAAAATATATAGCTGGGTAACGAATAATTAGGACTATTATAAACAAGCACAACATAAAATGAAACTTTTCATATATCGTTACATAACATTAATAAATTTTACAATAAGGTACAGTAAAATTTAAAAAGCATTAACGATGATGAATTAAAAAAAAATCGTGGTGGGCGTATGCGTGTTTATATATATATAAAAAAAGTTATAATTTAAAATATATCATTAATATTTATATGACTATAAAAACATGATATTTGGTTTTTTCTTCTAAGCGAAGGTTTGTCCCTGGCATGTACGTACTATATGATAAGTTCACGTAACATATATTCCAGATAAATTCCTAACTTTTTCCTGCCAGCTTCTTGCTAAATTATGCTCAATATTCCTTGCGTATATGTGACTAGCTATTTTTCTGCCTAAATTTGCTGTAACAATGTGAATACGTGAATAACAGTAACATTTGAATAACGACTATTTGAGTTTGAATTTCCTGATCACTATTTCAATATTCCTCCAGTACGTGTGACTATTTCTCTGTCTAAAAGTCCTCGTACAATATGAATTGGAGAATAATAGTAACATACTTTTGAGATTTTTTTTTTAATTATTATTTCTTTTGAGATTATATACGGTAGTATTATGTTTTTTAAAAAAATACTTATTTTTTTTTAATATATATTTATATAAAAGATTTCGAATGTAAGTTCACACACATAATATATATTTCGAATGTGTGTGTGAAGTTACATTCAAAATATTATATAATGCAATAATAATTGAGTGCATCTTTTTAAGTGAGGTTAGAAATTTCAATGTTATATCTATCTTCTTTTTTTTCTTTCTAAAATTGGAGAACACCTCTCTAAGTGATTACTCTTTCAGTCCACTTTTAATTGTCATGGTTTCCTTTTTTAGAGTCAAACTATAAGAACTTTGACTAATAATTTACGATATATTTTTTATCATCTTGCTATGCAAGAAATTGCAATTTATAGTACTTTTCGTATAGTTTTTGAATATCTTAATTATTTTTATTTAAAATATCGAATTAATGTAATTTAATTTAACTTTGAAAATTAGTCAAAACTTTCGAAAAATGCAACATGTATGACAAATAAAAATGGACAGAGATAGTAATATTAATTAGCATATTTGCCATTTTAATTAATTAGTCATATTAGGTTACAACCAAATATGTATATTAAAATTAATAGTACTAGATTACATAATATACCATCAATTGATTCATCAACCAATATAAATACATTCGACACGAAATCATAAATAAAATTATTTTATTTTATTTTAATAGATAAAAATTAGTTTTGCACCTGCAATTTGAAAAGTTCAACAAATTTTGTGACAAGAACTATTAAAAATCAAATTTATCTTTTACATCCTTGCCCATTTTTATAATAATGAATTCATCCTCTCAAATTTTTGTATGCACCTTTGGAGATACAATCACCACCATCAGATTACACGCACACTGAACCAGCAAAAGTTACGACAAAATGGTAAAAATTCATCTATGCTTAATAAAAGGTCTCAAATCCAAATTAAATACAAGTGTAGAAACGAGAAATCAGAAAAAAAATAAAAAATCATGCACCGGAAATAAGAATTAAGAAGAAGAAAAATTGATCCAATATACAAGTATGCACGCATATACTATAATTTTAAATTTTTTTTACAGATCAACGACAAAATTACTAAGAAGCAGATGGTGATTGAAGAAGTTTTTGTGCGGCTGAAAGTTGTTCCGTTAAATTAATAACACGGGCTCTATAAGCCCTAGCTTGATCTACAGCTTCCGCCTCAAATTCACCTAGCTGAAAACAAAGGCGTTCCTCCGCCTCTTCCGCCACCTTCAGCCTCCTCCATGTTTTTTGCAACTCCTCTTTCATTTTCTCTTCTCTCTCTACGCTCTTCTTCAATTCCTTCTCCAGCTCTTCGTTTCTCTTTCTAAGCACCTCCGCCTCCGGTACGCCGGAGATTTCACCGACGGGAGGTTTCGATTGGGCCCAGAAAGGTAGTGTTATAGTCGGAGCCATTTTAGATACGATAGCTTTGAATTAATTTAATTTTAATTTGCTCCAAATTAGGATACAGGGACAAAGGTAGCTTTGTTTTGTGGTTTGGAACTAATGCAAAAAAACGGTGGAGTTGGACTGGGTTTTATACACACCGAGTATGTCCAGGTTCAATGTATTTGTTACACTTCTAGAGACAAAAATACTTGTACTTTGATACGCTTATTTTATCATAATATTTAAGATAAATAATGTCAAAAATAAAATATTGAAAAAAAATTAGTTTTAATATAGTGAGTAAAACTAGGGGTAAAACTTATTTGCATCGGTGTATACACTAATTCAATACATGCATGTCATGTGTTTAAATTTACAATTTTTTTTATTTAATCTTAATTAATTAATATGTATTTTATTTTATTAAATCACGTAATAATGAAAATTGCATTAATTTAATATATACACCTAGTGCGAATAAGTTTTTTCGTTAGAAAAACTAGTACTAAGACAACCGACTCCGTTATGCATCAACCAACAATAATGCGTGCGTCATTGGACACGTAAACAGTGTGAAAATGCAGCCATGCTCTCACCGCAATTTTCACGACTCTCGATCACACTCTTCTTCCTTTCAATATACATCTTGTCATATATACTATGGAAGGTTTATTTTTTAAAATGATATTTAATTTTCGAGAAATATCTAATAAATAAGATTAATTTAATAAATTATATTTCAAATTTATTGTTTTTCTTAATAAACGTAAAATAAGTTAAAATGACATTTATTTTGAAATAATAAAAGTAATTTATATGAAAATATTTGAATGAATATAAAGTTTTGAAAAAGCAAAGTAGCACATAACTAAAGTTAATGTTAGATTATGATCATAAACATATCATGATAAGATAATTTTATAGTTATATTTCGGTAGATATACATAAAATATTCATGTATTATATTAAGCTTGTATTTATTCACTAATATCCCATGTGTTTTTACTCTATTTTTGACAATAATATAATCTTAAAATGTCCTAATATAACTTGTTTCCTTCGTATATAAGAAGATCGAGAAAACACACCTTTTATTTAATTAAAATCTAAATATACTTATTTAAGTATCACAAAAACTAAAAATAAAATTATCAGGAAACAAAAGAATCAAAAGTGCCCAAAGAAACTCACATAAAAAAGTTCTTTTATTTTATTTATCTTTCCACATCTTAAACCTATCATAATATTTCTACAATTATATTCAGTTAGAACTAAGAATTACATAAAAGTTAAATCATTTACACTACATATATAATAAAAATAATTTCTAGCGACAATAAATATACAAATTAACAAAGATTGCTAAATCTTTATGATATTAGTTAATTGTCATTAAATCTAATATTACTATAGACTTTAGAGACACTTACAAAGAATGCTAATTGCCGCTAAAAATATATGTTTAGCGGCAATTAAGTTATTAGAGAACATTTGTGGTGTAGTATTCTATCGAAATTTCGTAGGATATAACATCCAAAAATAATGGACTCTAGAAGGATGAGTACTATCACTAGGGGTGTGCACTATTTGGATTAAACCGAAAAATCAAATCAAATCAAACCGAATTTTAATTTGGATTGATTTTTTGGATTTTTGGTTTGGTTTTGGATTTATAATTTACTTTGTTTGGTTTGGTTTCGGATTTAGAAAAATGAAAACCGAAAAACCAAAAAAACCGAATTATATATATATATATATATATATATATATATATATATATATATATGTGTGTGTGTTAAGAATTAAGTTGGAGTTAACCACTTTTGTCCGTTTTTAGTTATTTTCATTATGATTGAGATTGTTTTTTTTTATGTTTGAACATCTATAATTGATATACTTTTAAGTATTGTGTTTTACGTTTTACTTGTAATTTATATTAAAAAGTATATTTAAGAAATTCAATATTATATATATATAATTTTTTTATTATTATTATTTTTTTAAATTGCAAATATAAATTTGTTATGTTTCTATATATTATTGACATAACCGATTAATCAAACCGAAAAAAACTCAAACCAAAAAGAGAAAAACCAAACCAAACCAAATTTATTTTGGTTCGGATTGGATTACACTTCTTCAAAACGAAAAAACTGAAAAACTCAAACCACATAGTATAAAACCAAACCGAAAAATCGAATGCACACCCCTAACTATCACAACTATTTCCCCAAGGGCAAACACTTACCTACATGATTATTATAACAAATCAAATTAATTAATTAGTAAATCATTGTTAAATATGCTAAATATTGAGATAAGAATATAAATTATTTATATATATTAGATTAACTGAAAAGTACAGGCAATAGACCTGTTATGCATTATTTAATTTAATATATGCATTGATTTATTAATTAATCATTTATTTAGATATGACAGCCAAAACCCACGTAGACAGGGACTTCTTATCAAACAGCAGATTCCGCAAAGTTTGGGGAAACCTCCATAATTAATGGAGTAATTAAATTAAACAAAGAGATATTACTGGAAAATTACGTCTCAAATAAAGTTTACAAGAAAATATTTTGAATTTAGGAAACTATATCTTGTTTAATTGGATTTGGACTTTGAAATACACTCGATGACAAGTTACAGTCTCACTCAACAAAAATAACTTTTAGCGGCTATAAAATATAAATATTAACAAAAAGTGTTAAAATATATCACCAAAATAAGTTAATTGTCATTGAATTCAATATCGCTATAGGCTTTATGATATTTATAAAGAATGTTAATTATCACTAAAAATATATATTTTGCTGCAATTAAGCTATTTTTGTTAGGAATGTACATGGTAAGATAAATATCGAATATCATTTCAAAGTTGCAATTTTTAATATTTTAATTTCAATATTATGGTATTTAATATATATACGTTTCTAAAAATTTTGGTATTCAATACTTATAAGATGAATACCGAAATATCTAATATAATACTGAAGTACATATAGCTATCTATACAATTCATATATTATTATAATACTATCAAATATATAATATAATATTAGCATAAAAAAACGTTGAAATTTTAAAGGAAAAGGATAAAAAATACTCCTCAATTTTGATTTATTAATTGACTATGTCCTTACCGAAATGAAGTTATTCTTACCTCTGCCATTAATAAACTTATCATTTGTGCCCCTACGTAGACAGAAATTCCCAAATCAATCAAAATTGACCCGATTTCTTAAAAGTGACCTATTCCAATTTAAAATTCATGCCTGAGCCATCTATCTATCTTAACCAAAAATTAAATAATTTAACCCATTTTTCATACCCATTCTAAAAAAAAAACATTTGAAGCTACCGTCATGATAATTCTGCAATTGTGTTTCCCAAGTATAATTCTGTCATGATTCTTCATTTGAACTTTATTTTATTTTTTTCAACATTGCAGCAACCAAGAAATACTTCAGGATAGGAGAAATATAAAACGAAAACAACATTCAATAAATTTTATCAGAAAAAATAAAGTATTGCCGGAGGAATGATTTTGTTGATCGGGTTCAGCAATAACAAGGAAGAGAGGGAGATGTGGCATGACGTGACTTCAAAGATATTGTCGAAGCAACACCTAGAACACAAAAACTGATCAAATTGGAGCACTTTTAGACGAGTATGATGACACTATTAATGGAGGAAATAGAAAAAAGGGAGAGAGGCATCGTGGTAGATGGTCCACTAGGGCCGTTTTCGGAGCTAACCATCGTCGTCGGAGCTAGAAGCAAATAGTTGGAGAGAATCAATGTCATATGGATTTCACCCAAATAATTACAAAAATAAAAAATAAAAAAATTCAACCCCCCTCCCCGCTCGGTATTGTCTTCCCCAAATACCCTACCTATTTATAGAAACATCTGCACACCCCGTCCTCCCTTTTGATTTTCTTCTCCAAACACCCCTATTTCTTTTAGCAGAAACATTTGTGCGCGCACACACCTACACCATGTTCCCTTTTTCATCATTTTAGTGTAACTATCTTTATTCACCATTGTTAGAATTTAAGTTTGTAGAAATGGTGGTCGAAGGGTAAGAAAAATGGGTTAAATGTTTTCGGGTTTGATTTCTTATAGGGGTCGGGGCATGAGTTTAAAATGGGGAATAAGTCATTTTTAAAGAATCGGGTCAATTTTGGTTTATTTGGGATATCCGCCCACAAAGGGGCACGGATGATAAGTTTATTAATGATAGGGGTAAAAATAACTTCATTTTAACGTTAAGAGCTTAGTCAACTAATAAACCAAAATTGAAAGGTATTTTTAACCATTTTTCCAAACTTTAATTACTATGTCTTCATTGAGATGTTCACTTTGTTTAATAGACTAATGAAGGGAATTGCATGCCTTGCACTTTTTTTTAATATACTTCACATTTGTAGGGTGTTAATATGATGTATTGAGATGTCTCTTGAATAATCAAAATTATAATTCTTTATTATATATATGAGTATATGCAAACCAAAGTAAAAAAATTATGATTATCATATCGAATTAATTTGATATGATAATGATTATTTTATTTAAATCAAAATTTTTGAATTACAGTTTTTAATATCGTACCATAAAATCAATGTTTTTTTAAAAAGAAAAAATCCACACTTGTAATTCAAAAAACCGAAATCACTCAATTGTTTCATAGTAATCTTCAACATCTGTGGGCTAAATTCTAAAACTAACATCTTCCTAGATTGGGCTTGGGCCTTATACTGATCCCCCCCCCCTCCCCCCCGCCCCGGTTGTGACAACGAAAATGGAAAATATTTGTAAAAATTATGCAAACCACACAGTATAATATACAAATTACATCTTATCTCTATTCTTTAATAAATTACAGAAATCCCTTTATTTTAGTATCTTTCGGATACATAATTGTGAGGACGGATACATTAATTTAGACACATTTGTTATCAATTTATTGCGCTAAATAAGGGATTAAAAACAAAAAATCTAATTGAACCCCACAAATCTATGTTTCTTTCTTCTAACAATCAGTCATTCACAAAACACTAACATAACTAGAAAATTCAAAATTTCAAATTGAGTCTCCCTGTTCTTCGAAAAAACTGCAAAAGCTTGATTCAAAAAAATTTGTTGCGCAATTTTGTGAAGATTCATAATGAATATTTCGATCTTGTTAAGGCATTCAGGAATATGGAAAAGTGATGTTAGATACGAGTGATACAAAAGTGATGGGATAGTGATTGAGAAAAATATTTCATTTGTGAATACATAAAGTTCTAACTATGATATATGAATTTTTTTTTACATACCATGGGTAGTGTAGGTCGAGATATGGGAGAGGCAACCTTTCTACCCCTTTTCTTTGGTGTTTTTGCATCATTTGCTTTAGATGATGCATGTACTTTCTTTTTCGATTTTATCTTCTTAGAACTTTGATTTGCCATTATTATCGGGTCATGCAACCTTTTTGATCTCAGTTCTGCCCAATTGAGATCTTCAGAATCAAATATTCAATTATTGTTAGGTGTTACTATTTGGGTAATCCCAAAACTAAAAGACAAAGAATCCATAGTGCAAGAGCCAAAACGATGAAAACACAAAAAAAAATACGAAAGCAAAATGAAGAAGATGAGACTACCTATTTTGAACTTTGCAGACGGTTGAATAGAGATAGAAATTGTTTGAAATTCAAATTGATTTGAATTTGACAACTGATTTGATAATGGAGAGAGATTGAAGGCGAGATTTTGGGAATGAGAAACGTGGATTTGGGTTCTTGAACAATAATGTATCCGGCAGAGTTGCTTTGATGGAAAAGTAGGGAATTTTGTTATGAAAGAGTAGGACCATAATGAGAATATGTAAACTAATATTGTGTATTTCAGTAATTTTTCCAAATTTTTTCTTTATACCCAATATATTCTAAGAATGATATCTCGTAGTTGTTTGTGAAGGCATCATTTAAAATATAGTAATATTTTAAAAGTCATTAAAGTTTAATTAATATTAATGAAGTTCGAAAGGATTATTTAATTGTTCTCTCCCCAAAAAAGAGTTATATTGAACCAAATGAATCAACATCATACAATAAACTTGTCTTTGAGACTATATTAATATATGAGAACATTAAACTGACTCTTGGGGATTTGAATCTATAGTATGAGGATTTAAATTGCAACATATTAGCCTGCCTTGAAACTACAAATCTCCGACTTTCCCTTCAATTTTACTATTATTACTTTCTTTGTTTCACACGTTTTTTTTACTTCTCAAAGTTTAGATTATGTGAACTTTAATTACAAATACTTTGAAAATTATTTATTTTATTATATTAGTAAGAGGAAATTACAATCTATACTTGCTAGGTTATTCCATTTCAATTTGTGTTTTAATTTGATAAAGAGTTTAAGAATATATATATTTTTTAAATCTTAATATCTTAAATAAAAGATCGAAAGATATGTCAAATGTATCCAAATATCTTTAATTGTGGTTTTAAATATGTCATGTGAAAAATTCAAACTAAAGATTTACTGGTAAAGAATAGTATTATTTTTTAAACAAACTATTTTTTTTTAAAAATAAAATAAAAATGAATGGAGTAATATTTTTCATATAATTTTTAACAATCTAAATATAATTATAAAATTATTAAGTTAATCTAATTAACCGGTCATATAATAGGAATAAACTTTTTGTTTCAAACTTTGAAATGATCTTTTTTTTTTTTTGGGATATTGTTTGAATAAAAAAAATTATGAAAATTTCACTCCTCCTATTAGTAGTCCTTAGGTATGTGGTCTCTTTCTTCTCTCCATAGCCAGTCTCCGCGCTATACGGAATCTCTCTCTTTCTCGTTTGCTTATTATTATCTCCGACTACAGGGTTTCTCTCTTCGCTGCTGCTGCTTTACAAGTAAGTCCATATTTCTCAACTTCATCATCTGTTATATTATTTTTGTTAAATCCATTCTCTAGTCAATTAACTTTAATCGTTTAATTAGTAGTTTTAATTCCATTTTTTTATTGCTTATACGTGTCAATTTCCCATATTTATCTTTGATTGTTTGTTGTTTGTGGGGTTGATTTTGTTTTTTAATTTGATAAAATCGGTTAAAGTTTTTGTCTTTTTTGGATCCTTTGAGTGTTTCTTTCTATGCCGGTGTCTGTTTTTACATGGATGAATGTCATCAAAAACTACTATGCCTTAATCCGAAATTACGTGGGTCACTGTTAGATTTTTATTTTGGGGTGAGTTGTATATCCTTTGATGTTTGTAGAGTTTTCAGGTGTTTGTTCAATTAAATAGTGCCCCACATGAAGGATCAAATCGCCAGTTGGTTATCTGTTTTGTTTATGCATTATTTGGAAGGTATCATGTACTGGACCAAGTTGTATATTGCTGAGGACCAAAAGATAGTGGTGGCATCTGTTTGAAACACAAAAAAAGATGGATTTTCAGAGTAACCCACAGGGTGATTATGGAAGATTTGAGCAAATACTTGCTCAATATCTTCTAAAAAGCTTGCATATTATTTTGAACTTGAGGGTTCCTTCGATAAGAGCATATGGTGGGTTTGAAGAAGTGAAGAGGAGTGACAAGTGGTTTAATATGGTGTTGGGAGATCGTCCTGTGGTTTTTGAAAACTTGAATCTGTTGCATGGGGAGCCGATGATAATAGATATAATACTTGTTCAAGATAAAGATTGTACTTCATTGAAGCACAATTCAGGTAAAGCATTTGCAGGGGCATATACAGAAACCATTATAGAGAGGTGGGTCGTGCAATGTGAGAATCGGAGGTCAATGGTTCCTCACATGGGTGATTCCTCTTACAAGAAAATGTACAAGAAGTCTATTATACTGCTCCGTTCCGTTTATTCAATGTTGAAGCTCCTGCCTGCATTCAAGGCCTTCAAGAAACTATCTTCGTCAAGTCAGAGTTGTTATTTTGATATTAATTTTAAGGTATCTTCATTTAGTGAACCATTCTCAAGGGCAGAGGAGGAGATAATGAAGCAATTTACTTTTACTTCAGTTGATGCCCAGCAAGGCCGTCTTTCCTTATCTGTGACATATCGTGAAAATCTGGTGGACTTCAACCTGGAGAGTTCTGCATCCTTTCCGCCTGATATCATTACAGATTATGTTGGTAGTCCACTCACTGATCCTCTGAGGTCATTCCCTTTGTACTCAACGGATAAGGGTGTTCATAATACTTCATTTCCATTGAGAAGGACACAGTCCTCTTGTTCAGCACCTGTTCAGCGCCCACAGAGTTGGACAAGTGGTCTCTTCGGGGCACCTTCTTTACCTCAGCCATATGTAGGATCTCCACCTTTGTACCATGCACCATATGAGTTTTCAACTTCAGTCAGTGATGTATATGGACAGAGGATTCCACCTAACTACAAATATTCGACTCACCAAAAAACAACTAGTTTTGATGATGACCAGCTTTCCCCTCCATTTTCATTATCACCATCTCCACCCACATATCTCTCAGGTGCAAATCTTGTGCAGACTCGTTTGCATTCAGAAACTGGTCCTGTCAGTATCCCTCATCCATTGATAGGAAGAACTTCCAGACACCTATCTCCTAATTTGTCTGATCCAAACAGGCATTATCTCCCACCTATGTCACCTAGATGCACAAAGCATGATTTTTCATCCCATGAATCCCCTTTTGGAATCAGGCCATCAAGGAAAATAGATTTGCTAAGGGTTCCCGAGTCAGATACTGGGACTACTAATCCTGGACAAAAGGTGGGCAGTTTCTATTTCTTACTAAATGTGTGCATTTTCTGGTTAATATTTTTATTTTAAAACTGGTATCTGCTTGAGCCTTCTTCAGCCAGCTTCTAACTTTTGTTTGTGTGTTTCTTTTTCAGGTGTCTACAGATGCTAGAGACGATTCAGGGCGGTTCTCAGGTGTGCTCTCTTCAAGTGATTCACCACGTGTTGGAGTTTCTAGAAGTTCCAGCAGCAGATTATCTTTTCAGGATGACTTGGATGACTGTGATTTTTCCTGTCCTTTTATAGTTGATGATGTTGATACTTCTGATTCCCGAGCCAGGTAATTTTGCTAGAGTGTACTGTATCTTTAGAAGTATTCATCTTCTTACAAACCCTATTTCTCTGGATTCATCTTTGTTGAAGTTTTTCTGTCATAGGATAATTAGTTTTATAGGACCCAACTATGTGTGGTCATTTAGCTGTTGTCTAGAAGGTTGGACATCATAAGAAACTGGACTTTAGGTAGTTTTGAGAATTGAGTTTCTGATGAAACGTTGAAGAGAAAGTTATCATTTGACCCATTGAATGGGGCCGTGTAGCTATCACTCTCAGGGATACATATGAATTTTCAACTGAAGTTCTTTTTTTAACTTTTAGGTCCAATATGCAAAAAGTCTATCAAGCAGATGGGTCTTTCTTCTTTTCGCTTAATGAGTCAATGGAAAGATATTGCAATAAGATGATATAGATAATAAGGTTGTAACATCAGTGAATTTAGGTCCAATCCAATTTTTGCTTGACATTACAATTGTAGTTGTTCTCCGCGAGATAAGAAGCTTGTGTTAGCTATATATTAGCCCGCTTTCCCTTTTACTTTGTCCTTAAAGGTTGTCCACTTTATTTTAGCCTTTTTGTCTCTGATCTGCCCTTTATATATTATCTATTTCTAGATTATGTTTTGCTTTTCAAGTGCTGTGCTGCTTTTAATTTAATGGTGTTTATTTATGCATGTAAATTTCAAAGTAGGGGAAAAAGCACCTTATTATGGGTTTTCCTGCATAATTTTAGGTTTGCACTTTTTAGTTTTGTCTCTTGTGTGATGTAAGTGAAAATTTCATTGGAAGAAGTTGGATCAAACAGTAAAACTACTGAAAGAGTGGCTCCTTGTCAAACAAAGCCAGGCAACTGTAGTATGTATACGACATGCACACAGACACACACACGAAAATCGATAATTTTGTTACTAGTTTTGAGTTCGTTCAATTTTCTTTGTGGGGACATGTTAGAACTTCATATTTCCTTGATGATATCAAGTTAAGTATCTCAAATGTAGATATAGTCATAAAAAATTGATTCTTGGGGATGTTTTTATTAGAAGCTTAAATAGTGTTCAACGAGAAGAGAAAAAGCTTTTTTTTCACGCAAAATTCTTCAGATTTGTTGTCTGCAAATCTTTATCTGGATGCATCTCGTCATACTGTAATCATATTTTTTTCAGTTGGCCTGCAGCTTGATTTTAACCTTGCTACTGCTAAAGCTTTAGTTTATGGTATTTGTTGTATTGTGTAGAATTTTTTCTTTATTTTTGGAAACTAGGTCTGCATTGAGCATTGGCTCCCTTCTCTCCAAACTTCTAGGAAACAGGATAAAGTTATGTCTTGTTTAGAGGCCTCACAACGTTGACAGCTTTTAAGTGAAACCACCCCATCCTTCTATCAACTAAATCTATTGCTCAAATGGTTATTTTCCCCACTCTACCCAAAGTTTCTTTCCTCCTCTCAGTAGCAGCAATACTGATCTGCTGCTTGCATTCTCTTCCCCTGCCTCCAGTATTTTGGCTGGAAAATTTTTACTAGAACAACTGCCTTTGGTTTATAATTTTGAGTGAGGTTCTTCCTCATATGGCCGTATGGTAAGTCTCAAGTTATACTTCATTTGCCATCATTGAGTTTCCCAACAAACCATTGTAAGGATTGGAAAATGATATGCAATTGCATAAAAGCTTATGGTTGCTTGTGAACTAGTTCACATATTCTTTTTTATTCATCTCTTCTTTAGTCTGATTTAATTGAGAAGTTTCTTGAACATGTTTGGTTGACAGCTTTAGGAGTAATGGTTCAATTTCTCATGATACTTTGTGCTGAAATATGAACTATGTTATAGATGGGGAAGATGAAATTGGCAGGATTTTTAAGCTTAGAAGAAGAACAGGGGCGGCTCAATGCCTTTAAAAATAAGGCATCCGTCTTAGCCCCCAAATTTGAGGCCTCCCATGAAAAAAATAAAGCTTTTTCATTAAAAAGAAGAAATAACTTTGAATTTCAAAAAAATAAAAAAATAAAAGCTAAGGAGATCATAATTTTGGTGGAGGAAAAGAAATATTAAAATTTAGTGTATGCAAAGAGAAAAACACAATATATTATTCCAACCAAGTTTGCCTAATGTTTTCATTTTTAGTTATAGGAAAGAAAGGGAGATTTTTGGTTATTATGAGTTCTAATTTTTCCCTTTCAAGTTTTATAATGCTTGTTATTTGCCTGTTGTGCTATATATGAGCTGGTGTTGTCAATATGCATTTAGTGCTTGATGCACCTTAGGGCATATCTGATATGTAAAAGTCTAAATTTGTTTGGAAGAAAACTTTGTTTAGCTAATTGTATTGGGAATCATACTCTATTCTATTAAACAAAACAAAACAAAAAACGATATTAGGAAAATCCTATTCGCCTTCCTGGGCACTTTTATTTCCTTTTCTTAGCAAGTGTCCTCAAAGGAAGATTTGACCTTCTAGGAAAGCTGCCATTTGCATAAGTTTTCCTTAATCATCTGATAAAACCCACTCTAAACCCACTCTGTTTCTTTCAGGAAAAAAAAACAATGTTTTTTGTGGTTGGGTTTGTTATTGGCTCCCTAAAAATTAGGGGACTTCAGGCAGTAATTTTAGGAGTTGAAAAGGCAGAAAATAGAAGGAAGGTTAGCAGGTGAGATTTAAGGAAGTTGAAAACGGTAAACAATTTGTATATATATGTGTCTTGGTGTCAGAGGAGTAATGATGAGCTAAAAACTTGTGTTTGACTCGCGGTAAGGAATTGTAGAGTACTTTAAAATCAGTACAAGTTGGGGTTTCAAATCCCTTTTTCAGTAGTTTTGATATGACCCCGATCCATTTTTATCATGCCTTAAATGCATTCTGTTAGGGTTGAGATGTTCATCCCACTAAATCTTTGTTGTGGACATGTATCTTCATTTCTTTCTTTCCTTAGATTTTCAACTCAACAAGTGTTTACTGTTCTTGTTATGCAGAGAGAACCTTGATTCCAGAAAGTGTTCAGAAGCCTCGTCTAAAGTATCTGCAACAGCCAGAAAATCTCAAGATGCTGCTGTAGGTGCCCTTGTTCACATGCTGAGAACTGCTCCCCCTTTGCGTCAAGATTCTACTTGTTATAGTGCACATTCTATAAAGGGAGAAGTAGAGGGAGAAACTGGCACTGCATCTCAGTTCTATGTTCCTAGGAAGGCATCTGATGCATTGGAGGAGCTTAAAGCTTACACACAATTGAAAGATATCTTACTTCCCAAGAGCATGACCCGCTCAAGCAGTGATGGTGGGAACTTTGCGTGATGTACATATATACTTGTTGCTAAGTAACGTTAAGGAGTGTTTACTGTGTGAGAGGAGTGAGGACTAACATATTCTGTACATAAATGATGGGAAATGGCAAGTATGATAGTCAATATATTACCTGCTTTTGACACTACTTGAAAACATTTGTGTTTTGAAGAAACAAGTAGCAGTAATCTTAAAATAATATGATCTATTAAGTTTCTGGTAAACAATTTTTTTTTACTGTAATATCTAATTTGATCCTCTAGTATTTAGCTACATGAGTGAGCCTTGCCACCTGCACAAATTTGGATTAGTCAGGCTTTGGTGTAGGTATTGGACTCTACTGACGCGAATCTGGATAAGGCTTCGATGAGGTAAAAGAACAAAAAAGAGTAAGTTGAGAATAGAAGCAATCAAAAGAAAGAATAGAGGCCGATTGGTAATTTGGGAATGTGATGGTACTAAACTATCAATAAGACTGGAATCTATTTTAATTTTTTTTGATTTTTCACTTGGTGTTTGATATTCATATAAGACTGAAATTTCATTTGTTTTAAAGAGTGAAACAAGCGAAGCTAGCGTTTTAGGTTTATATTGTGAAATAAAATATAAGAAGTAAACTACTGACCTTTATAAAAACAACCAAACAATAAAATTAATAATTGAATCTTTTAAGCAAAAATAATTGGCACTAACAAATAGGGAATTATTTATTAAAAATATAAGTAAAAATGAAAATAGGAAGAAAAAAAAGGTGTGCCAAAATAGTAAAATATCATTTGTAGATTCACTTTAGAATATAATTTGAGTTGGTTTGGTTTTCGATTTACCAAAAGATACATATTTTAGTTATGTCACATGCTGAATGTGTTTTTCTATACTTTTTTTATCATGTAATCAAATAAGTGAGTGTTTTTTTTTTTTTCTGGAAAATATCTTGGAAAGAACTAAAATGTATATTAGACGCAATTAGCAAGACCCACTTCATGACCTAGATTTTTTTTTCCTACTCAATATTTGATATTCACATTGAAACTCTAATTAATTCAAGTTCACGTTAGGTAACGCTCAATTTATGAGGGAAGTGCTCGTTAACAAGACTTGAAATGATACATTCGATTAAAGATATCAACTCTGTGCCACCACAATCCTTGTTAGTTCAAGGCATGGATTTCAAACCTTCGTGATAAGACATATCTCTCCCTCCTTTTACATGTGACATGTTGACCGGACATAAAATTTATGAAAAGATAAAAAGAAAAATAATTCAAAATATATTGTCTAAACAGTAGTATAAATGTGTAATTAATTAATTAATTAGGGTGTAGGAGTACTACTTAAAATTAAGTTCAAATTATTTTTTTCAAAAAAATTCAAAACTACGTCGCCCCATAATAGGGTTTATAAAAAGAGGAAAACTGGGAAAGAGAAGAGTTTTCCCTCCACAATCCTTCCTATTCACGAAGCTCGATAATGGCCGATTTCTCAGTTTGCCCTATCTGTAATCTTAGATTTCTCACCTTGGAACTCGAAAGGTGATTCTACTCTTATTGATTTTGTTATGTTCTATCTCAATTTCTATTTTTTTTTTTCTTTCGAGAAAGTTCTAAAATTGATGCGATTAATACAGGCACGCTAACAGTCACTTCGACGATGAAGACATTGACAAAGACTTCGAATTGGCTCAACAAATTGCTCTTGACCTTGCCTGTGCCCCTTCAAGTCCACCTTATATCCCGGTACTTTTTTTTTTTTTTTTCTCTTTGTAAATTATTCTGTTCTATATTATCTCATCAATCGCCGAGATTTAATATACCAGAGTACCAATTCTGATATTATCAACCTGCCTCCATAGAATTTTGGAGTCAAATTGGTACTCTTTTGGCTGCAAATCATTAGAATTTTGGAAAAAAACAAGTTATAATATTTTGGGCTTTTTAAATTGGTATATTCTTGCTTAAAAAAATGATTTGTTACTGGAAAAAGGATAGAGGGTGATAAAAAATATTTAAAAGGTGTAGACTTTGTTTTTGTTAGCTCTAATTTTCTAAAGCCTTGTTTACCTGATTATCAGGTTGATGATGACATGCAGTGTGAAACTAGTTCTCAAAAGGATCGGGAGAGTAGTTTTTTGAAGTCTGAGGCCAAAAATTGCAATCCTGGAGGGAAAGATATTGATGAAAAAGCAAGGATTTTATCTAGTGTGCACAGTAATGAAACCCGACCTCAGATTGGACAAAGGTTGATGGATTTGTTGAAGAACTGTTTAGAGTTGGAGACTGAAAAGACCACCACTATTTTGTGTGGTAATGTTGATCATTTCCAAAGCAGCCATTCGGAGGATTTTGGGTGGGGTTGTGGCTGGCGTAATATCCAGATGCTTAGTTCTCACTTGCTTAAGCAACGGCAAGAAGCAAGGGAGGTCTTGTATGGAGGTTCTGGGTTTGTACCTGACATCCCTTCACTCCAAAGATGGCTTGAAATTGCTTGGAAAAGAGGCTTTGATAAACAGGGCTCAGAAGACTTTGATCAAGCAATTTATGGCAAAAGAAATTGGATTGGAACTACAGAGTGTGCTACGCTCTTCCGTTCATTTGGCCTTCGTGCCAGGATAGTTGACTTTGTAAGCCGGGAGATAGACATTAGGTCAAGTGGAGTTGGTAAATGTGTGGGCAACATGGCACCTCAGGTTTATGGACCAATGGATAGATATCTGTCCAAAGGGAAAAATGTTGTATCCAAGGCTGTTCCGATTTCGTATGATGTAAAGGCTAAGCCTAAGGTCCAGCAGGCACTCATTGATTGGGTGTGGAATTACTTTGCTGACAATAAATCCAGGATATCCGGCAATCATGGTATCCTAGTCAGTCAAAAAGCGTAAGTGAATTTAGTCAGTGACTGTATTTCCTTTATTAACTTGGATGTATGTGATAATCTTTACTTGTGCATAAATTTTCTTGGTTACCGATCTCTTCATTCATCATCATTCTCTTTTTGGTGATGGGGTCTCTTATAAGCTTCGTTGAAACAGGCCTTTGTACTTCCAGCATGATGGCCATTCAAGAACCATTGTTGGGATTCAAATGAAATGCCAGAGAAATGGACCGATGCAGTACAATCTATTGATCTTAGATCCAGGTCATGTAAGTATTTGCACATTTCATTCATAAGCAAGTCTTGTCCTCGAGGTTCTATTATTGCTTTGGTCTTTATGGCTTCCCTATATTGTCATATTTCTTTAAAGGTGTTTTGAGTCATCTCTGATGGCCGTATTTGTATTATTCCTTGAAAAGTGTATGTGAAATCCATTGTCTCCCTTTCCGTAGTTAAATGGTCGTAATGACATTTTTTTTTGAACTGAAGATGTAAAAGCATATTATGTTAGATGGTGGGTGAGGATTTGGAAACTTGCCTTATGCTCCATAAGTTCCGTTATTGGCAATTGGCTTTCGTTGTTTAACCTGCTTATGTATAATTGGTTCCAGGACTAAGACTGTAAGGAATTTTAGACTCTTGCAGTAAATATATTGTTTAGGGTATTCTTACATTACCAATCCATCTAAAAATATGTGGTCTAGAAAAGCACATATGAGAGATTTGTGATTGTGCGTGCTGCTCACCTTTAATAGAGTTGTGCTGCAAATGTGCACACTTATAAAAGGATCTCCATCAACTTGGTACAATCTGTTTCCTTTTTCGTTAGTTTTCATCACTTATGGTTAAAACATCATTTGGGATGGCTGATGTATGGGATAGTCATTGTAGTTAGTAAAATATTTTGTTTCTCCTCCCTCAATATTCTTGTTGAGATGTTGAAAAGAAATATTAATGCCCTTTCAAGTTGGGGAAAAAGCTATTAATGACTTCTGATTTTTATCGTTATTTTTACTCATAAGTTTTATCAAAGTATCAAATTGCATATTATCAGCTACAGGGTTATGTTACTTTTAGGGTATATCATGTATAATATCTCTAGATTACTTACCAGAAGTTCCACCATACCTTGTCTCAGACAACAGAGTCCCTGGCAAAATCTCTTAAAGGAAACTTCGGTTGGCAAAAGCTAATAAAAAGAGGTGTCCACACTCTGAAGAAGCCATTATATCAGGTTATATTGCATTTCAACCGTCTAACATTTAATTGTTTTTCCTGTTTTGTGTTATCAATAACATTTTTTTTTGATAAAGCGTTATCAATAACATTTTATTTATCTTGCAGTTATGTTTTCTTGATCCTGGAATTGCTTCTGGGGAGGAGATTGAGAGCCTAAAGAATCTACACAGCATCCGTGTTGAAGCTTAGTCCTAAAATCTAAAGGATGTACAATATCCAACTAGAATTTCATACAGATATTTTAAAGAGGTGCTCTCAGCTTGCATGTAACAATTCTGTGTACAGTCATTTTGTTGATGAAATATAGGTTAACTGTTTTACCATATATTTTCTGCAAATATTAGCTACGGTGACACTAAGCTCCTGTATCTATTAAAATGAGAAAAAGATTTGGGAGTTGGAGGTGTGTGTTAAGGTCCCTAGTACTGGATCAGTCAATGGACTATTAACGAGAAAGTCAGGCCGAAAACACAGGTTTGACCTTGTTTTGTTCCTTGACTCGGCTATGATTGCTGAATTTTGGCAATACATTGAAGGGAATTGCAGACATTGGAACTCATCAGAGAGCTCCCGATCTCTTCCGTTTATGGGAAATTTAACCTGCTCTCAGATAGAGGGGGTACAGAATGAGTTAACTGACTGGTTGAATAGCAAGAGTCCTAACAAAATAAATATAGGAAAAGTCCTAATTCACCTAGGAAAGTTCTATTTAGTGTTGTCAGAGGCGCTTAAGCCCTGTAGCGAGGCAAAACGTGTTGAGCACTTCGCCTCGCTTAATGTGCACTTCGGTGTCCTCATCAAGGTTCTAATACATACTATTCCTTGCCAATGAGCCTAATGAGCCTCTTCAGAAGAGTGACACTAAACAAGTGATATTTCACTTTATTGTAATTTTTGTTCAATTTCTTTGTTCATATATTTTAATCTTAGACTAAACATAGATATTTGTATTTTTTCCTCCCGTTGTGTTTTTTTTTTTTCCATTAAAGCCCATGCTTTATTTGCGTTTTGAGCTTAAAGCCCCAGCAGACAGAGCTTTTTTGCGCTTTTGCTTTTGATAACAGTGGTTCTATTTGAAACTAATTAAAT